ATAGGAGATTTCTTATCTTAAATCATATTTGTTATTTCTGCACCAGAACTTTTTCAAGGAAAAAAAACTATTTTGCAAGCATTTGAAATTTTAGGATAAAAGTTATTTATATTAATATACTATTACTACAAACTTAAATATGAGTAAATCTCACACATACTCTTCAGCAAATGAAAGCGGCAATAAAATGATATACACAATATGATTTCATCTATATGCAATCCAAAAAAAAAAACCAAAAGAGCAAAATAACTGTTATTGTTTGGGGCTGGATACATACATGGTAAAATGTAAAAAAAAAAAGGCAGGGAATGATTATCCCAAAAGATAACAGTTTACAGCAAAGGTTGGGAGGTAGAACTTACATAAACTTTCATAAACATTCACTGTGTAATTGTTCTTTGAAATGCACATACGTAATACACTCTGCAATATATATGTTAATATAAAAGAAAATTAAAATAATAAGTTCAAAGAAACCCAAAAAGTACGATTAGTACTTACATTTTTTAACATAACAATGTGAGCAATTGATCTTTGTATCATAGCATCAATGATGCTGTTATTATGCTTTAATTTATAGAAGTGATTTACATTTTCAAAGGTATTAATTTAGTAGCAGACAACACCTAATTAGGTGTTCAATAAACTAAATATTGGATGGAAACCCCAAAGTTCTAGCAGAACAAATTCAGAAAAACACCAAAATTAAAGAAAATTGACCAATATTTTGGCTCTTCCATTTATTACCTCTGCAATCTAGCACAGATTACTCTCTGAACCTCAGTTGCTTAATCTATACATAGAGGAATTTAGTATCTGATAACAGTGGTCATTCAAATTCATACAGGGGAGGATAATTATTTATATCATTGATAAATGGTATTAGGAAAACTACCTAGTCATTTAGAAAAAAAAGCAAAACAGATTCCTACCTCACTTCTCACACAAAATAAAATGAACCAAAGACTGAAATCATAGCTAGATAGATGATAGATAGATGGATAGATAGATAGATAGATAGATAGAAGATAGATATACTAGAAGAAAACATAGGTAATTTTTTTTTTATATCTTAAATGGGACATGGAGTAACATCTCAGTTTGCCAGGGAATGAGGGGTTTCCTAGGACATAGGATGTTTAGTGCTAAAACCAGGAAAGTCCAAGGCAAACTGGGACAGTTGTCACTGTGAGTAAAGAAATTTTTCTAACCCTGGTACAAAACAGAAACCACAAAAGAAAACATTGAAAAAGATGACCATAGAATTTTAAATTTCTGTATGGCAAAAAAGAAAAAAAAATGTGTAAGCTAATGTTGACGAGCAAAAACCTGCGGAATATTTTGAACATTTATGATAAACAAAAGGCTAATTTCCTCCAAAAAATACACAGAAAACACATAAACCAATAAAAAAAAAGAGAGAGATGGACAACGCAATGGAAAAAATGAGCAATGATATGAACAGGCCAACAAAAGATAAGGTTAAGTTATTAAAAGATAATGCTGAAAGGTGACTTAGATGGTAACTATATACTCTTCAGATACAACACAGAGAGAAAAATAAAACACCCAGATTGTTTATTTTTTTTTTTTAAATATTTTATTTATTTATTTGAGAGAGAGACAGAGTGAGATAGAGCCCAAGAGGGGGTAGGGTCAGAGGGAGAAGCAGACTCCCTGCTGAGCAGGGAGACCGATGTGGGACTCGATCCCGGCACTCCAGGATCATGACCTGAGCCTAAGGCAGTCGCTTAACCAACTGAGCCACCCAGGCGCCCCACCCAGATTGTTTATAAAAAGGAAGAGTGAGAAAAGTTTAAGTAACAAGGTCCAAAGCATAAGAATCCAATAATGAATTCCATGGATGAATAAAATTTGGAAAGCAAAAAGAATTATGGTAAATAACAAATTTGACCCTAGTTTCCAAAATGATATCATCACAAAGCCTGTATCAGTTGGTCAGGACACAGTGCTAATAAAACCCATATTGTTGGGTTAATTTTTTTTTTCAGGCAGTTACCATCACATCGTCTAAAACTAGTTAATAGGGAGTGATTTGTTCCCTAGCCCAGGACAGATGCTGTACAAATGTGTATCAATGATCACAAGGGACAATGTGTTGAATGGATAGTGAATATCCATACATATCAATATGCAAAGATATATGTACTAGAATATTAATTTCAGCATAGTTTTTAATTCCAGAAAACTGAACAGCAAGAAAGAATAATAAGAAACTTATTTAATTAGCCCTTGATCTCTAAGGGCTAATTAAATAAGTTTTGAAATAATATCTATGAAAGATACTTGAAAACCACAAAATAATAATTAAGATACCATCTTTTGAATGTAAAACTCAGACACAGTGTTAAGTGCTTTATATACATAATTTAACTTAATCCTCGCAGCAACCCTAGACACTAGGTCAGGGGTTTTGGGTAAAAACCTCCCAATTTTAAGGTATTGGCAACTAAATCAGATTTTTAAAAATATTACATGAGCCAACTAAAAGTGTCTGCAAGCCAGATCTAGTCCACGGGCTGCCAAATTGCCATCTCTGATGTGGAAATTAGAGAAGAGGCCAAAATCAGAGTTGCAAAAACATTTATAATTAGGAATCTGTTGGAAGAAGCGGAGTTAGCAAAAATGATGAAGAAAAGAAGAAAGTAAACGCAATGCCTTAAACCAGGGAGGAGATTTCAAGACAGGAATCATCGAAAACAAATCACGTGGGAAAAGTCTTAAACTAAGGACTAAGAGGCTTTATGATTTACTAACAAGAAGGTGGTCAGAGACCTGTAGTGGCTGTAAGAGAGTAGTGTTAGGACAGAGGGACGAGTACAAGACACGAAGGAGACAAGCATAAGCAACTGTCAATACATGGAGACTTATTCTTTCAAGATTTTCGACCCTGAAAGTATGGGAGAATGACAAGGGGCTTTATCCTTTCATGTCAAACCTGAGAGAGAGAGATGGGGTGACATTTGGAACTATGAGGAGGGAGAAGGTATCCAGTAGAGGAGAGTACAGCATATTTATAGATAGAAAGAGGGAGAGCTAGAATTTACAACAGTGATGGTAAAGCAGGATCCTCTTAGAGGTACTGGCAGGAAATGAGGCCAAAGCAAAGTGGAGGTTTGCTTTTGAAAAGACTGATACTAGGACGCTTGGGTGGCTCAGTTGGTTAAGTGACCAGCTCTTGATTTCAGCTCAGGTCATGATCTTGGGATCCTGGGATCAAGCCCGTGTCGGGCTCCCTGCTCAGTGCGGAGTCTGCTTGAGGATTCTCTCTCTCCCTCCCTCTTTCCCTCTGCCCTTACCCCAGCTTGTGCTTTCTCTCTCTCTCTAAAGTAAATAAATAAATCTTAAAAAAGAAGAAGAAAATACTTAGTCTCTAAGAGAGAAGCAGAAAGGGCAAGGGAGGTTACAAACACAGACATTTTGAGGAAGCTCATGTTGACGAACGTTTTCAGAGTGTACCTACTTAGCGTCAGGTAGCTGTGCAGAGCTCTGGGGGTGATAGGATGCATGACGTAAGGTCTCGACCCTCAGAAAGGTCATCATTTGGGAAAGTTAAAGAAATCCACATTGGATGATAGGTAAATCAATCAACTCAGTTGAGTAAATCAACTGAGTTACTCACTCAACTGAGTAAATCAACTCAGCCATCTGCTGAGTATGAGGGACAAGAGGGATAGTTTGGGTGATAAAGACCTAGGACAGTGTTTAAATCCAAGCTCCCGTCAGAACCACCTGCAAAAATTTATGAAAGCCCAGATCTCAGACTCTGTACCCTGATAAGTCTGATTAAGTAGGTTTGAGATGGCATCACAGTATCTTTAATGATTTAGGTTCTATAGGTGACTCTCAACTAGCTTATTTACAGGTTTAGAATAACCCTTGAGGAACATCTAGGAGGGAGCCAATGAACAATAAATGGAATGATTTTTTGGAAAACAAAAATAACTTGATTTCATTATTTTGACTTGGACATTTTTTCTGAAAATCGTCAATAGCACAAAATAAGATCACATAACCAGATATTCTCGTATTATGTAATAGTTCAACCTTTGGGGAAAGGTAGCATTGCATGGCAAACTAAAAAAATGGCAATAAAAAAGAAAATAAATCACTAAACAACTAACAGCTACATATACACACACCCAGTTTGGAAAAGCACCTTTACTGAATCACTGAATGTTCTCAAATGACACCCTTTGAACACACTCAGGTTTCCCCCTATGCTGATTGAAAGAAAAGAAGTTAGATGCTGCTTTCTCCTTCTAGCTCTGATCCTTTCTCCTTTTGTTACTGCCAAACGTTTAGAATGAGTGGTCTGTGACCACAGCCTCCATTTCCTCCACACCCACCCTCTCCTCAACCAGCAATCCTGTGGCTCCTACACCCTTCCATTCAAAACACAGTTCTGAAGGTCACCAGCTCCTTGAAAGTCAAACTTTTGGCCATTCTTCAGGGCTGGTACCCCTAGGTTGTTTGGAAGGTTTTGATGCTATTAACCACTTCCCTTTCCTTGAAAAACTTTTTCTTAGCCTCTACCACTACCCTTGTGCTCTGTTTGCTCTGTCTCCTTCACTCTCTCCGTCTTTCTCCTTAGCCACATTAATGCAGACATTCCCCCAAGTCTCATCTGCCCATCTTTCTCTCTGCACTTTTTCTCATCATTCTCCCCCACTCCCAGAACCCCAACTGGACCTCTATACAGTTGATTTCTCCTTGTTTTTTTTTTTACCACTGCAGTCATAGTTTAGCTCCCTCTGCCCTTCATACAAGCTGTTTGACCTGCCTGGAATGTGAGTCCCTCAACTCTTCCTGGCCTAGCTCTTTTCTGCTCATCTTCGTCTCAAACATCACTTCCAAAGTGACCTTCCCTGATCCTCACAGACCAGACTAGACTTGCCAATTACACATTTCTATGTCTCCCTCTATTTCTTCTTACACATTATTTAATTATGTGTAATGATTTATTTAATGCTTACCTCTCTTCTGAGATTCTAAGCTTTGTGAGAGCATGATTTATGTCTGTCTTGTTCAAGTATCCCCAGCAGGAAGCACAGTTTCTGACACATGACAGACACACCCTGACTTATTAACTGACAGAATAACTGACTCACATTTTAGCTTTGACTTGTTTTTCCTAGACAGGAATCTTCTATTTTCCCACACACACTTGCCACATCTCTTTTACCCTCTATGTTTGACACTATGGATGAGTTTCAGGCTCAGTTCTTTTACTAAAAAGTTGGGTGATATCTTTAGTAATTCCTTGAACAACGCTAGGCTTTATTTGCCCACGTATAAAATGAAAGGATTTAATTTGAAGGTTTCTAAAGCCCTTCCTGTCTGAAAACTCTGTATTTCTCAAAAGTGTCATACATCTGCTTCATTTCACAAATGAGGAAATTATCACTTAAAGAGGGTAAACAATTTCTTAAAGATGACACAGCTAGTGGTTAAAAGTACACATCATGTATTATGCCAAGCGAAATAAGTCAATCAGAGAAAGACATTATCATATGATCTCACTGACATGAGGAATTCTTAATCTCAGGAAACAAACTGAGGGCTGCTGGAGTGGTGGGGGCTGGGAGGGATGGGGTGGCTGGGTGATAGACATTGGGGAGGGTACGTGCTATGGTGAGCGCTGTGAATTGTGCAAGACTGTTGAATCACAGATCTGTACCTCTGAAACAAATAATACATTATATGTTAATTAAAAAAAAGATAGTAGGAAGGGAAAAATGAAGGGAAGGAAATCAGAGGGGGAGACGAACCATGAGAGACTATGGACTCTGAGAAACAGAGGGTTCTAGAGGGGAGGGAGTGGAGGGAGAGGTTAGCCTGGTGATGGGTATTAAAGAGGGCACGTTCTGCATAGAGCACTGGGTGTTATACGCAAACAATGAATCATGGAACACTACATCAAAAACTAATGATGTAATGTATGATGATTAACATAACGTAATAAAATAAAATTTTAAAAAAAGTATACCTCATGACAAACCTTTAAACCTAACACAAAGTTATATAAGAATCTAGAAATTCAGGGAAAGGAGATTGAGATTTTTCTTTAAAGATTTTATTTATTTATTTGAGAGAGAGAGAGCGAAAGAGCACAAGCAGGGGGAGCAGCAGAGGGAGAGGAAGAAGCAGGCTCCCTGCTGAGCAGGGAGCCCGATGTGGGACTCAATCCCAGGACCCTGGGATCATGACCTGAGCCAAAGGCAGACGTTTAACCATCTGAGCCACCCAGGTGCCCAGAGATTGAGATTTTACCGAGAAAATGAAAAGCACCAAAATATTCAATGCATGGATGAAATTTGGAAGCAAAAGGGCATTTAATAATACAATACATTCAATTTCAATTTGAACATTTGCCTTTCCCCACCTATCCAAACTTATCATTCAAGATCCATTTCCTCCATTAAGACTTCAACAACTCCAACCCCCTGTATCTCCCATCTTTGGATTTTACTAGATTCATAGATAATTTCAAGACTGACCAATTTAAAATGTTCTCCAATTATTTCATCTTACCTTGATCTCCTTAATTTTTATTGCTAATAACTTTTAGGCACTATTCACACACACACACCCCATAAATAATTCAGTGTTCTTAATACTTTTTATTGCTTTATTAATTGCTGAAGTGTAGATGTTTAGAGGAAAACGTTATGCGAATTCCTAACTCTCAAACTAGAAAAGGAAGACAGGACTGAAATTAATGAAAACAAACCCCTTCTCTTTTGCAATTGTTTTTCATCTTTTTTTTTTTTCCATCTTTTGCAAACCTGCTCAAGCTACCAACAGCCCTGTTTTAATTTTTATTTCCTCTTCTTGTTACTGCCTGCCCTCTAGCGGAAGATAATGACAAATGAACAAAATTAGCCAAAGGAGAAAAAAAGTGGTCCTTTTTAGTAATCAGGATCTTAATATCAGTGACTTTTATAAAAGGTAGAATCAAATTGATTAGGATAGCAAAATATAATTTGAACACAAGAAAAAATCTAGAATACTAAAGGCTAGAGTAAGGAGAATGTGAGGGAAGAGGGCCAGACATAGAGTTGGAGAGCCTTGCTGGACAGTGTACCACTTACATTGTTTTAATTTTTCCCCTCAAGTATTTTTTATAAACCTTGTCTACCAGCTACCACATTGCTTGAATTCATAGGCAAATAAGTCAACAGAAAAGTAAATAGATTTTTTAAATGCTATGTTTTACATTGAAGTCATTAGTTCTTTTTTTAAAAGATTTTTATTTATTTGAGAGAGAGAGAACACAAGCAGGAGGAGGGGCAGAGGGAGAGGGACAAGCAGACTCCCCATGAGCAGGGAGCCCAACATGGGGCTCCAACCCAGGACCCTGGGATCATGACCTGAGCCGAAGGCCGACTGAGCCACCCAGGCGCCCTGAAGTCATTAGTTCTTAGGCACCTTTGTGAATTTATCTTGTATAATAAAGTGAGTTATTTCTGTTTGGCAGGATTAGTAACAAAGCAGTATTAGTAGTAAAGACATAAAGTCATGCCCCAAGTAGTTTGTTTCTCATTCTAAATTATTTCATGGTGAATTTATCATGCAAATCTCTGCATGTAATATAATTTGCTTTTTTGTATCTCGATCCTAAACATTTCAATAATTTTATAATTATACAAGCACAGCTTTCAGAGATTTGATTTATGTAGTATCTTCTAGTTTTATTCAGAAATAGTTTTAAAATTCAAACCTTTAAACCATTACAATTGAAGATTATCATTTCCATCTTGATTTTTTTTTTCCTTTACCCAAAAATCATAGTGTTACTTGACATGAATAATAGCCTCTTGCCTGGCTGGCTTCCCTGCCAAGTTGGATCCTTGCTTTCCACAATCAGATCTCAACTACTGAAATATTTAGATCACTTGATTTTTCTTAAGTGAGTAAGTAGTCCACTAAGCTTATAACCAAGCACGGGCATCATTTTTTTCAGTGGTGTTATAAATAGTGGTGCTTTTTAGTAAAGGCATAAGCCTATTCAAATGCCTGGTGATGCTTACAGACCTGACTGGGTGTGACTCCGCCATTGACAAGTGGTGTTGGACAAATCAGTTCACCTCTCTAGGCCTCAGCTTCTACCTTCATAACATGGAAAACTATCTTCCATGCCTACTTCACTGGTTTGCTTTGCAGATCAAAGGACAAAAAGTATGTGAAAATTCTGCATAGAAAGGCACAGGAATACAATATGGTTATTTTACTTGTGCTCACCAGGAAGACTGTCATGTGGAAAACAGATTTTTGGCTGGAAGGTGGGCAGTATTTTATAAGTCTTTTCTTTTTTCAATGATCAAATTATAAAATGTAATGCCAACTACACTGTTCCCTTGCAGCTGCTCCCATTTACTAAAAGTGAAACCTGAAAACTCCCTCCCACACCAACTCCTACCAACCTCTGTAGTGAAACCAGGACACCCCCCTTGAGCCCCCAGTGCCCTACAACTCCTACGAGAACCTAGATGTTGCAGTGTCCTCTCATCCAGAAAGTGTCTTTTATAGCCTACACGTCTTAAAGATGAATAGACATACCTCACACATGCACCACTAAACTGTGAGTGCATTCTATTTTAAAAAGCACCTGGCTACAGACGGCGATTAAAAGCAGTGAAGTTTCCTAATTTATACTGTGAACATTTTGGACCTGAATGCAGTGGGATTATTATTTAATTTTTTTGAAGGGCAAAGAAAACCCAGATGACTTGGATCCCTACTAGAAAATACTTGATTTATTCTGCCTCGGTCAGAAAAGCATGGGGCGGAGTGGGGGGAGGCACGGTGAAATAAGGAAGTGGGCAGTGAGGCGAATTATAGAGATATCTATAGTACCTTAGGATACAAAGTAAAATAAGTAAGACGAAGAGCAAAATGAGGAGAATAAAGTGAAATAAATCTGAGAGTAATCCCCTCCCCCCAGCTCTATGATTGCATTATCTTGCTTCACTCCACAAGAAAGGCAAAGAAAACTCAGCAAAAGCTGAGCCACGTTTCTGGCCATTCTCCAGTCGCTCTCTCACAGAGAATTAAGACTTACCAGGCACTAAGAAGACAGTCAAAATCAGTAGAAGCCATAGTTTAGAAGTTCTCCAAGTGTGGGGCATTTCTGATTTCTCGTATTCTGCCCTTTACTTGGTACTTTGCCTCCCCACAGGTGTGAAAGGAGCTCTGGACATGGTGGGGCTCTCTCTGGTTAGCGGCTCTGGGCTGGATCCTCTTAGCCCATCAGCACCAGGACACTCCCTTTCTACCAGCCTCTTCCTTTCACTCTGTGTTTTAGGCTGATTAGTAAGTTGGAACAGAAGAACCTCTTCTCTGGAACTTGACACAGCAATAGATTTCCTGTATGAAGCACTGAAGCAAAGACGGAGGAAGCAGATTGATTGAGTTCTCTTTCAGCTCATTGGTCCCTCTCTCACTTCTGCTGCACACAGATCAACTTTACAGTAAAGCACTGAATGTGCCCAAGATAAACAGATTTGTCTAAACTTTGGATTACAAAGCAAAACGGGATATTTATCTGTCCTTGGCCCATCCCTTTACATTTCCCAGTCACAGTAATTTTTAGAAGCTTCCCCGAGTAGAAGAGGTGCACAGCCTCAGTAATAAAGTTTGGAATAAAATATCCTCCCTTATAAGGTCTACAACTCTAGAAGAATCATCATGGGATTAGTTTACTATAACTGATTACCACAAACCCAGGGGCTTAAAACAACATAAATTTATCTTACAGTTCTAGAGGTCAGAAGTCCAAAATGGACCTGACAGGGCTAAAAGCCAGGTGTCAGAGGGCTGTGTTCTTTCTGGACACATGCAGAGAACCCATTCTTTGCCTTTTCCAGGTTCTAGGGACCACCAGCATTCCTTGGCTTGTGGCTGCATCATTCCCACCTCTGTTACGCTGTCACATCTCTTTGGGTTATAAACCCTCCTACCTCCTTCTTATAAAGACGCTGTGAGGGGCACCTGGGTGGCTCAGTCAGTCAGTTAAGCATCGACTTTTGATCTCAG